TGTCAGAAAGTCATTTTTCTGTGGGGAAGCAAAGAAATATGCAGGGGACATAAATTCTTCACATGCGCAGTGGCGCAGAATTCCACAAGGAGTAGACATAGCAGTTACCTTGAAAGTAGGTGCCTTGAAAGTATCCATGCCAGAGGTTTACATTTTTTATATAAAGGGTAGCAATAAGGACTTTAAAAAAGGAAGTAGGTTATGAGATGTGCTCTAATAAAATTGTTCTAGAAATCTGTAATCACCTCTAAATATGGCAGGTTTGTCTATTGAGCTGAAATGTGCTGGATTTATTTTACATATTTGCAAACTAAATTATTTAGTGTTACTTGAAAACGATTTACTGGAGCTCCCCGTGAGAGATGGACCCATAATGCCATTAAATTCCAAATTGTTCCTTTTGAAAGGGACTTATTGCTCTATATTTCTGAGGCCCTGGAAAAAAAGCAGGGCAGCCTCTGCTTACAATGCAGGCACTTTCATTTCACACTGTCCCTAGATATAGTAAATATGAAAGCTAAATGTTGGGTATGAGAACGGTGGGGAGGGACTAACCAAAACTGTTTTTTCAAAGAGACTGACTCCACCCAAAAATAGACATGTTGAGATGGCCTGAGTCTCTGTTTCAGAGTTTGACCTAGTGATGTGTCTGGGAACAAGCAGAGTAGTCCCCAATTTCAGTCTGTTTGTAGCCAGCAACTATGTCCTCTCAGCAGTGGTTCTCAACCTTGTTGGGCTCAGGACCCATTTGTAAATGTTTATGGCCTGTCATGATCCAGTAAACAGTTTGGTGGTGGAGACCCTGGGGTGGTTTCAGGTGGGTCCTGCCCCCTGGGGGGGTTGGGTCCTGCACAGCATTCACCCCACAGTGGCAGTTCCTGTGCTGTGGCCTGGCTTGGCTTGGCCCTCCGCTGTGGGCATTGCATCCTAGGGGATTGCAGTGCCACTCAGGTTTGGCCCCATCCCCCAACTGGACCAAATTTGTGAGAGTGGCGTTGCCACTCACTCAAATTTGGCCTACCTGGACTCCTGTCATCATGATGGCTGGGTCAAACCTGAGTGACGCTGGAACCCCAGAAGTTGCAGAGGCTGGAGCAGGGAGGCGAGCCCAGCCAGCCCTGGGGGACCGGAGCTGCCATGCAACCCTTTGAAAAAACTCTGGTGACTCAATTTTGGGTCCCGACCCACAGGTTGAGAAACCCTGCTGTAGTGGGTGTATTGTGATTGCAAATACTTGTGAACCTTTCCACTTATGAGTGGGGTCAATAGAAAAAATAAGTATTTGTTTTTTCTCTTGCAGAAACATGCTCTGTTTTGCAGCTGTCAACCATTTTAAAAGTAAAAGACGTGGTCTCTTTGTTTTGTACGTGAGGCTACACTGTAGTCTTTCTTGTGCCTATATAATTTTTGTAGATGCTTCAAGATTTGCTCCTTTCTCCAAATTGCGCTGTTCCCCTGCGCCGCGCTCCTCACCCCAATGGTTTTGAGACTTAAAGGCAGATAAGCTGAGCTCTGTAGAAACAACACAGTTGCATACCTGCAAATTGTAGCTTGGGTCTTCCATTCAGTCACATGGACTTCTGTTTCCACAGAGACCAAAGCTCATTTATTTCATGGAGGATATTTTTAGGAGCCACTCTTCGGGTGGTGGACTAACATTCTTCCTTTAAGAAGGAAAATGAGTGGTGACAGAATCCTGAGGAAAAGAATTAGTCTTTTCAAAATATATTTTTTTTAAGCTTTCTCCCCTCCCCCACTGCACTTTTTCTTGCCAGGTTGTTTTCCTCACTCTTCCTTTCTTCTCTTCTTGACTTCAGGTTCTACTCCCTCTGCTCTCTTTCCACCCAGGCATGTCCTCTCCTGTGCTTCACTCTCCACCTGACTGCTCCCTTTTTATAAAATGTTTATTATTTTAAGGAGCTGAGACATCACCAATCAAAACTTAAAACTGCAGGTGTTTAGATTCTGTTTCACCTGTTCATGGACCTTGCTCTTGAATCATCAAATGTCCTTTGGCCCTGCAGTAAATGTGTAAAATATAAACACGGGTGTTTTGTTCAGCTGTTTCGAAATAAATTTGTCTGAAAGATGTGGCACTCTTCTGATCAAAAGGAGCAAGGGCAAAGGGAAAGATAACTTACACTAGTTATAGGAACTTCCACTATCTAATTGCTTGATGCTGATTAGCTAGAAGTGATGTAGACATGACAACTACGCAACTAACACAGTCTTTAGTTGCCCTTCCTGCTTTGTGTCACTGCTAATTCTGGTACCAGTTACACCCTTGTCACTTGACTCAGTGCATGTTTCAGCACGTTGCACTGTATACCGTAAAGGACAATATTAGTGTCTTAATTCTTTAAAGACAAATATAGCAAAAATGCCACTTCACAGCTATGATATAATCAGAACTAAACTTCTAATGGCTCTGATACTTAGTCAGTGAAACAGGGCTGATTGCAATGTAGAAATCCCCAATCTTTATAGCACTTCACACGGCATCCTACTTTAACTGATTTGCTTCCTGCGAAATGCAGATTGTGCCTTAACTTTTTTGCTTCTAGAGGGCCTATCACTGTGGTAGCTATGTGCTTTGCTGAGAACACAAATTACATAAACCACTTACAGAAACAAAATAAAACCGAAAGTGGTGAAAATGAGCAAATGGGGAAAATCCTAGCCTCTGGGCAAAGACAGGGTTACAAAGCTCACACTCTAGGGAGCAGATCACTGTTGCATTGTGCTTCCCCTTCATCTACCTGTTGTTGTCTTTACCATATGCTTAGATTGTAAACTCTTTGGAAGAGGGACATCTCTTCACTGTATGTTTGTACATTGTCTAGCACAATGAATGCCTGACTGGTGCCTCTAGGCCCTACTGCAATATTAATAATCTGTGGAATGCCGCACGCACTCTGCTGCTGCTGCAACTTTTAGGTTGTGGTGGTCTCTGCTCCGACTGCACCCATCTCTCTGAGTAACAGGGTGAAATGGCTGGTGGATGGATCAGCATAGTTGGGTGCACTGCTCCCAAATCTCTCGGCTGTACTGTACCATGAAGTGAGTGCAGATTCTTTTCAAATGACTTCTGGAAAGAAATTTTGCCCCCATTTAAGTCAGTGGGGCCAGGATTTCACTCCTCGGAGTCTCTTCCTGTGCAACAGAACCATACAGGGTTTCGCTGCATCCAAGGCCCTCTCTGCCAGCCAGGGAAAATTTGCCCTAAATGAGCATTACATCTTGAAAGACATCAGACTCTGGCTGTGACAGACCACTAAGAGGATAGAGTTCACTCCGGGGACAAATTTTTATTATAGTTGCTTACTTATATTGCAGTAATGTTACGGTGTGTTAAGCATTGTACAAACATCTGGGAAGGTGCAGTCCCTGTCTCAAAGAGACTACAATCCAAATAAATCTTGCTTTATTTTAAAATTAAATATCAGACTGTAACCTGTCCTAGGATGATCCCCCTTCTCAGTAACTTTTCTTAGCCGGTGGGTGCTTGACCCCTCTCTGCCCCTGGCCCCGCCCTGACTTCCCCCTGCCCCGCCCCCATTCCAATCCCTTCCCCAAAGTTCCCGCCCCCTCCCTGCCCCTATTCCAACCCATTCCCCAAATCTCCACCCCAGCCTCGCCTCTTCCCCGCCTCCTCCCCTGAGCGTGCCGCGTTCCCGCTGTTCCAGCTGTTTTGCGGAGGCAAGCACTGGGAGGTAGGCGGAGAAGCGGGGACGCAGCATGCTCAGGGAGGAGGCGGAGGTGGAGGTGGGGCGGGGAGGGGAGCTTGGCTGCCGGTGGGTGCAGAGCACCCACCAATTTTTCCGTGGGTGCTCCAGCCCCGGAGCACCCACGGAGTCAGCGCCTGTGCTTCCCTATCCCTTTTACTGCTGCCATAGGAGCAGCTGATTGCTTGCTGATGGGTTTCTGGTAAAGCAGCCAGTCACGTGTGCACCAGGCTGCTATCCATTTCATATCTAAAGGGACTGAAAACCTGCCCCCATACCACCTGGTGGAATCCCAGCTCTAGGTTCTGACTTCCATTGCCATAGCAATGATAGTATTAGTGACAATGGGGCCTATCATCATTGGAAAAATGCACTCTTACAAACAGATTAAAAAATATTTCCTACCGGAAACATGCATTCCTCTGCAGTGAATTATTTCTTTGTGCCTCCTGTAATAAAGTGGGCTGTACACTGAGGATCTGTGGGTAATATCCTCTGACTCTCAGAATAGCAGCTATATTTGTGTGTTAAAGATTGTGGTGACCAAATATTGTTTATCCTAAAAACTTGATTACCCTGGAAAGTAATTTAATATTTTAAACCAACTTTTTGATATTTCTGAGTATCTAAGATTGTGATATTAGTGATGCTTTGTAGCAGCAGATTACTATACATCAGTCTGTAACTTGAGCTATAAGTAAAGTAGGGTCTGAAAACTATACAGCACACAGACTAGGATGCTAGCAGAATGGATGGGAATAATTAAGATCCATCCATCTTGCATTTTATTAAATATCTAAATAAGGCAATTGTACTTAATTCCCAGTTAATTTGATCTTGATTACATCTCCTCTTGGGTTGAATCCGACTTTTTATATAACAAAGAGCTTTTTTTAAACAGGAGACTGAGGGTTAGCGTTAAGATAGCAATACCTGTAAGATTGCTTTTTTCAGTGTCAAACACGGTTTACTGTGCTGTGTTGTGGAAGATAACTTAGATTCCTGAACATTCACAAGTATGGTTGAGGGGAACCAGCATGCCGATAATCCTGAAAGTGTTCTAATTACTACATAATACTTCGATAATGATTTACTCTGCTATTACATACAGACTTGATCCTTTACTATATACTGGGAGTGGATTTTGGAGAGCTGCAGTGGGTAGAACGTGTGTTTTTTTTTGTCCCTGTCGCTGTTCTTCATTTGATCTAGTTTGTAAAAATTAAAAAAAATTAAAAAAAAATTAAGCGATATATTTTCTAATTCTCTTTGCAGGTATGGTGTGAGTCCTGAGAACATAATTCTGTATGGTCAGAGTATTGGAACGGTCCCGACAGTGGACCTGGCATCTCGGTATGAGTGTGCAGCTGTAATCCTTCATTCTCCTTTGATGTCTGGATTACGGGTAGCTTTTCCTGACACCAGGAAAACATATTGCTTTGATGCTTTCCCAAGGTATGTGCAAATATTGCTGGAGGGATTGCTCTATGGTCACCTTAAACTTTTCTATAATGTGTTCTTTTATTTGTATTGTGACATGCATCTTGAGCTTTGGACAGGCACATCTTATAAATCAAAACAGATAATAAATATATTCATTTGCCACTGAGTAGCTTGTAGTCTCAAACTGGCATGCTAGTTTGCTAAATAAGCAAATAAAGAAAACCCTACAATTTTTACAGCTATTTGTCATTTCAATTTTTAATGCTCGTACACAGTCCACCAATCCATTGTATGTTAAATTTGGACTGGTAACTGTTAGCTATGGTTGCGCTGTCAAGTGCTTTTAGCTAAAAAGTAACACCCCTTTAGAAGTGTACATTGCTCAGCCAACTCTGATTTACAAGGTACGTGGTGTCAGCAAATATACGTGGAAAGAATTTTAGGCTTCTTGTTAACTGCTGATACTGCTGTACAAAAACAATAGACAGGAAGAATGGCGCAGTGATTAGGGTACTAGCCTAGGACTCTGTGACCAGCTCTGCCACAGGCTTCCTGTGAGTCTCTCTGCCTCAGGTCCCCAGTTGTAAAATACTTCCTTGTCTCATGAGGGTGTTGTGAGGATAAAGGCATTAAGATTGGGGTGCTCAGATACCACCATAATGGGGGGCACCTAAGATCAATTGATAAGATATGTGGCAGCACTTCAGCTGTTGTCTTTAAAATGAGCTTAAAATCTTTAAAATGCAGCATTGAAAGTTAAACGTGATTAGTTTCAGGATAACAAATACACTTGTCTCTATTGTTTAGGCTTTTACATTCTGGATGCTAACAGCTGTTCCAGGAATCCTAAACTGTATCAAACACTGAGTTGTAAAAGCAAGTGAAATTTACATCCTAAGAGTGAAAATCAGGGACCAGAGAGCACCCTTCAATGTTGCAGTTGTTTTTGCAACACTTACAAATGTTTGTAAGTGGGATGTCCACAAGGATTCCATGTTCAAAGCTGATTGTGCTCTGGAAGATGCAGTTTCTTTCTTTTTTTCTGAGTGAGGGAGAAAGGTGGAGGCCCAAATTCCACACACTGGAACCTCGAAGAATCAATTTTGTGGGACTACTGTGACAAAGCCAGATGTAATATATTTTAACTCCTACTTCTTTAATAATTAAAACTTCATACTAATGAACACACTTTATCTAATTTGCATCTGAAAATTGCTTTAATAAACCAGTACATATTACAACATTTTGATATAGTTTTACTACACTTTTAAAGATTTAAGTGTAAGAAAATATCTTAAACTAGTGGCTCTCAACCTTTCCAGACTACTGGACCCCTTTAGGAGTCTGATTTATCTTGTGTACCCAAAATTTCATCTCACTTAAAAACTATTTGCTTACAAAATCAGACATAAAAATATATGTTGCTGAAAAATTGCTTGCTTTCTCATTTTTACCACATAATTATAAAATAAATCAATCGGAATATAAACATTGTATTTGCATTTCAGTGTATATAAAGCAGAATAAACAAGTCGTCGTATGAAATTTTAGTTTGTACTGACTTCACTAGTGCTTTTTATGTAGCCTGTTCTAAAACTAGGTAAATATCTAGTTAAGATGATGTACCCCATGGAAGACCTGTGCATACCCCCAGGGGTATGCTTACTTCATGTTGAGAACTACTGTCTTAAACCACCTGCTGCCTACTGCAGTGACTGTTAACTGAGTAGTCAAATTTGCTTTGAGTAATCAGCACCAGATTCTTGTTTGACTTCTCTGGGAGGCATTTCTCAAGTACAAATAGTTCTAATCCTTGTCTAAATCTGAGCTGTACAAGGCCATTTGGTGGAAGCAGTATTGTTTAACATTTTACTACTATGACACTATGCTGCAGAGTGTACTTTGCAGCTACAGAAGCCATCCCTGATTCTCTAGGGACTTGAATGTCTGCTATTCAGTTAGGGTGACCAGATGTCCCGATTTTTATAGGGACAGTCCCGATTTTGGGGTCTTTTTCTTATATAGGCTCCTATTACCCTCCGCCCCCTGTCCCGATTTTTCACATTTGCTGTCTGGTCACCCTATATTCAGTATTCCATGCAACTTTTTCCAGAGAAAGGTTACTCATTTGAGCATAGCAGCCATATATAGTAGCATTGTCTTCTGAGACTGTCATCCAGTGCTAGTGATACTGATCTTCGGACAATGATGCATGCAAAAGTCTGAGAGGAAAAAATACCCCAAGTAGTATCCTGTAGCCAGGGAAGGGAGAAGACGAGCAGACTCCAGGGAGACTTGTGCAGAATTCAGCTCTGTGACCTGCTGCAGACTTCGGGTACATCTACACTGCCAAAAAAATGGGACAATGAGTCTCGGAGCCCAGGTCAGCTGATTTGGGCTTGCAGGGCTCACGCTGTGGTGCTAAAATTGGCAGTGTACACGTTCTCACTCAGACTCTGAAACTCAGCAAAGGGGGTGGGTCTTGGAGCCCAGGCTCCAGCCCCAGCGAGAATGTCTACACTGCTATTTTTAGTCTGTAGCATTGGCCCGAGCTCTGAGACTCGCTGCGGGGATGGGGGTTCACCATGTAGGTGGACCCTTTGTAACTAGGATATAGCAGTGGAATTCATTCTATTTATTACGATCAAGTTAAGATAAAACATAACATCTAACATTTAAAGAGAGAGTTTTAGGAAGACAGACTAGCTAGTGAGACAACTGCTTCTTAAAATACATGATCTTCAAGCTTATAGAGCTACAAGTTTTTTGTGAAGTCGTCATCCTTAGTACACTTCTCAGCAAGTTAAAATGTGAATTCACTGAGGGTGTATTAGTAGTTTAAAAGATCTTGCTCTCAAACTTGTGCATTGTTCTTCTCTTAGTTTTTAAATATCTAACATTTATGATTAAAATTAATACTTCTAGAGGAGAAAAAGCTAAGGTTTTTAATTACTTTAGTCACAAGATTGTGTAGCAGTAATCAGATTAAACAAGCCAAACCAAACAGTTTAAAAAATAAATAAGTGTGTGTGTCGGGGGGAAGGGGTGTTTAAAGCTTGACAGCAGAGATGTTGTACAGTATTTTTTTTATTAACCTTCTACTGATCTGATCATTGCTCTGACTGACTTCACTTATACTTAAAACAAGGGAAATAAACATTTGTGCATTTTCATTAATGTGTACAGCTCACTGTAGGAAAGAATATGTTTATATACATCTTTGGAGAATTGCTGTTATGTGCGTTTTATGTTGGGACCCCATGAGAATGTAGTCTCTGTAGATTTCCTAGCTGCAGAGTGGTGTGGCTGAGAATACCAAGTAGGCTAATGTGCAGTTTAAATACTGCTTTACACGTAGCTGAGTTGGCAATGGGATGCTTTCCAATTTTTTGCAAAATACAAATATTTTTTCTTTAATCACAATTCATCATCTGTATTCACAAACTGTTAAGCTAGTTACCTGGATGCTGCAATGATGGGGGTTTCCCAGCTTTCTAAAATATATTAAAAACAGTAGCTACCTAATAAGAGTGATCTATAAAAAGTCTTTTGTGTACATAACTGCACATAGCTGACATGCTTATTATGAAATCTTTACTCAGTGGCCGGCAAGTCCATTGGGTTTTAAGACTTTAGACTAAATTATTCAATATTTTGCTTATTTCACATTGCCATTTAATTATGGTATTCTTCACCTGGGGATGCAAATAAAAACTACAATTGTACATGTCTTATATTGACAGCCTCTCTCTAATGTTCTTAAAGTCCTTATCTGTATTCCACATGGAAAAAGCTAAACCTGACTAATCCATATTTAATGTTTTCCTACCTAGAATCTAATCTCAAAATCAAAAGACTTAACTTTTTACTGTTTTAAGCTTGTACAGTCTGTTTTGAAGAGATACTGGGATGTAGAGAGACCAAAATGTTTGTTTAGCAATAGCTGTTACCTAGAATCCCACAGTACACCAAAAGCTGAGCTTTTACACATGTGAAATTCTCTGTTCCAGTTCACATTTAAATTTTTGAATTAAATTATCTGTATTTTCAAAATGTTATATTTATTTGTAAATTGTCACATTGGCTTGGCTATATTTTTGGTTTTTACTCATTTTGAGCGACTGGATAGATACAGCTTCACTTTTGTGTAGTCACTTTCACATCTAGATGTTTCACTCCCTTCTCTTCCTTTGGGAGTAGCAAAATCCTGACTCCCTTTAATTATTGTTCAACCTTTTTTTAACAAATCATAGAAATTAGAGGTGGGAAAAAGTTGTCTGCTCTAGTTATTCTGTCAGTTCAAGATTGTTCACTACAATAGATCTGCTGATGTCTTATTTCAGATGTCCAGAGGGATGGAGTTCTCACCACTTGGGGAAGTCTTCCACAGTGTAATAGATATCACTGTTAAGAAAACTTGCTAACAAGCAAGCCAACTCTTCCTTTTCCTAATTTCATCTCCTTATTTCTAGTTCTATCCCCTTGTACCACCCTAAATAGTTCCTTTCTTTCCTTGGTGTCCACACCCATCAAATATTTTTAGAATGAGATGTATTTACCTATTATGAAAAGTATAGTATATTTAGTTCATTCTAGTACTTGACAGGGAAGCAACAAATAATTCTATATGTAAATTGTTGTCTAAATATGATATATTGGAGCTTAGAAAATAGAGTGGTGAGAACTATAGATACTGTAGTAGCTTAATCGTTCTCCTTTCCTCCCACCCTGCTCTCCCAAAAACAAAAAGTCCAATAGAAATACTATACTGCTAAAGGAAGCTTGCATCTAAGCTGAATGTTTACTTTAAGGTCAAAATTTCCCCAAATTTAGGTTGTGAAAAATAAGCCTTTTCAAAACCCAAGATGCACATAAATGTTTCCATGAAACAAATCCTGTGTGAGATTTTTTTTTTATGGTTGGTTTGCAGTTAAATATGTCCTTTTAATGTTTTCAATCTTAACATTGCAGTATTGTGCTAGTGCATATGAGAACCTGGAAGTGAAAATGACTAACTAAAAATGTAGTATAATTGTAGCATAACCTTATTCTTTTTTTCATGGTGCGAGCTGAAATGCAAAATGAAAATAGCCAATGTAAATAGAGGAAAATTATATTTTAAAATTAATCTTAAAATGAATTAATTCTTTAAAATAATCTGTATTAATCTCTGGGGTCAAAAACATAGATAAGGATGCTTTCTAAATGATTTTTCAATCAAAGGGCCATCATGAATTAGGGAGATGAATGTCTCTAGCTTAGGTAGTAGGCTACATTGGTCACTAGCTCAAATTCAGACATGGTGACTTAAGTTTCATCCTCTGTGGGAATGCATTGGTGGGTTCAAGTTGGTTCTGAGTTAGATGTCCACATGCTAGCTGGTATGATAGTCACTAATAAGCCAAAGATTTGACCAGGCAGGAGAGTGGACAGACTTCTTGCCATTGAAGAGATTGGTAGCAAGATGGCGATAAAAGGTCAGCTTGCACTGACAGTTATCTGTGCCTGTTTTGTGGATAAGTCAGTGGGGCATCAAGTGGGGGCATCCATTTAAAAAAAATTCAATATTCCTTAATTGTGTTTAGTGATTAATTCAACTTTGTTTTCTTTGGTATTACAAATGTAAAAACTAAAAGCCTGAGTAACTTCTCTTTCTTTTCCATCCCCCCAGCATTGACAAGATATCTAAAGTAACCTCTCCTGTGTTGGTAATTCATGGTACTGAAGATGAGGTAATAGATTTCTCCCATGGCCTGGCAATGTATGAGCGATGTCCACGCGCAGTGGAGCCCCTCTGGGTGGAAGGGGCTGGGCATAATGACATAGAGCTTTATGCACAATATCTAGAAAGACTAAAACAGTTCATATCTCATGAACTCCCCAACTCCTGAAGAAGCCTACTTGATTTTACCTCAGTTACTGTGAATGGAAGAAATTACCTGTTTTTGCACATGCTTTAACTGGATAGCTGTAATAGCTTTATACTATGAAGAAATACCTGTCTTCAGGGTGTTCTAATCAACATCTGATGAAACTTGTCTTTTATATCTGGAAATTATTCTACTAATGCACACAATATGGTCAACTACTGTAACTCCAATGATTTTTAGTTTCATTACCCAGGAGGACATGGGGATACTAGCTGAATATGGGGACACTTTTTATCTAGTGCTGTATTAATATTCTAAAGTCAGTTTTCTCTATCTTCTCCTAGGACAGAATTATAAATGATCAGACTTTTTTTCAATGTTCTCAGTATATGGAACACAACTGTTATGAACTACAGCTTGTTCTTAACAATCGATTCATGGGTTCGATCTAAGGGAGTACTTTCTTTGTAAATTTCTAGCTGTGGTATTGTAACTGGCAACTTATTGTGATGAGGTCTTTCCTCTTAGTGATCTTTATTTAACTTACTGATCTTCCCAAGTAAATTATTTAAGATGTCCTACTCTTTCCTGGAAAAAAAAAATTAACTAATACATGGGGCTAAATTCTGTAGCAACCTCTCAGCCATTTTCTGTATAAATATAACTGGAATATTCTTAAGGAAAAATTGACTAAATTGTTTTTGTTTAATAAAAATAAATGTATAAATTCATTAATAGAAAACTCCTTTTAATATTCAGATGGTCTGAATAAGAGCCATAACATTTCCTTCTGTAAAGCATTCCTGTAGACTTTTTAAAAGTACTGTACATATTTGAATTTACATTGTGCATAGATTCTTAATTGGTAGTTTTAATTTAAGTCTAATTACAATAAACTGCAAAATTCTGGTTTGTATATGATTGAATACATTTTGTTAAAATATGTTTTTATCCCTATATTATTTTGCTATTAAAATTTTATAAGATTTCCAGGACAAAAAATTAACATTTTATGTTTTGATGAATTTATGTAACTAAATTTTCATTGAACTAATCTTTTTAGTTTAGAAGTAATTTGATGCTTTGACACTGGAATCGCACAGAATATGCATCAGAAATGCAAGACACAATTGTTACACTACTACTATAGGTCTAATTTTTTCCAAATTTAAAGGCCTTAAATGTACTGTAAGCCTCAGATTGTTGTAAAAATTGATTGCGGTTGATTGCAGTTTGTGTACTGTTGCTAGAATGCAACTCAGTGGTTGTAATGGAATAAAGGATGCATGGATTAGAGCATATTGAATTGTGAATCTCATTTGTACTATAGTTTTCATACAAAGGCAGCAAACATGAGGTATAGAAAAATTATATTTTGGAAGGGGGAGAAAATACCAAATAATCTGATAGCCTAACCTTGCATTTTAATGTTAAATGTTTACAAAAAGGCACAAAATAATCCGAAAGAGCAAACCTGCCATTCTGCTCAATTTTGTATGTAAATGGAATGTAAACTGGTGTTATTGGGTAAGGATTCTTGACTTGCTGTTTAAATATTGAAAATCATGGCTGGGAGCAATGTTTGAATATGTTTATCGTGAGACCTTGTGACAAGAATGCAATTAACTAATAAAGTGAGCACAGCAGGTGTGCATGCTGTCTCTGAGATTGATTTAGAGCTGTAATGCCCCAGTAATTAAAGTAAAATTTGAAATTTTCATTTCTATCCCTGAATCCTAGAAATTAAAGATAGAAAAGGTCAGTTAGGTCATCCAGTCCCTCTCTTGTCGATCCAGGCTGGTTCTTTGCAATAGATCTTGTCCAGTCAGATTTTAAACAGCCCAAGCAATTCTTTTCCAACTCCGGGGACAGCAACTCCTATTAACAACATCTGTGGGAGTTGTTCAGACCCTGTGGTGAAAGAGTGGGGCCTCTGCTGTGCATACTCTCTATTTGTAGATATAGGCCTATGCATTCAAAAGTGACTTGGGACTTTCAGTTTCTCCAGTTCTGAGTGTCCAACTTGAGACAATTTAGAGGCCTGCTTTTTCAGGAAATGCTTACCGCTTTGTCACTTCTGAAAATTTAAGCCAGAGTGTGTCTTCCCCCTCCCCTGCATAATGCAGTCACTTTTAAATATTGCTTAGACATGTTCCACTTAGCTCTTTTAATCTTTTGTTTATAAATCACTTCCCCTAGCTTCCTCAATCACTTGATACTCTTTGAATTTGCTCAAATTTGTCAATATCCTTCTAGTAATGAGGTGCCCATAGCTGAATACAGTTCTCCAGATGTGGTCACATCAGCCCCATATAGGGCTGGAACTATTGTCTCTTTGCTGCTCCTTGAAATGATGTCTACCTATTCAGCCCAATCTTGCAATAGGATTTTTCACTGATATTTCCTATTGCATTGCAAACACGTCCTGGGTATCCTCACCGCTAGATTTCTTTCAGCTCATCTGTTTTCCAGATCTTTCTCTAACACTAAACTTCCTTCAGATTTTGTCCATTTACCCAAACTTTCTGCCAATTTTTAATATGTATAGGTTGCTTGATATTTCTCTGTTCTGGTCAATGTCAGTAATTCCTTCCAATTCCATATAATCTGAATTTCATTAACATGTTTTAAACTTTCCCTGTCATCAATGAAAACATTAAATAACGATCCCTGCAATGACCCTCTAGGATGTTGCCTTCTCCCTTCAATTCAATAAATTTACCCTCAAAGAATTTTCAGTGCATTCAACAATGTTCCTATCCAAGCATGCTTGAATCAGTTCTGTGAGTTGTGTGATGCTATCAAACTCTTCAGTGAAAAAGCATATATAATATATATTGAACTCTCTCTTCATCCCAGTAATGTTGTAATTATCATTCCCTGACTTTGGGTATTTGAATATTTCTAACTGATACATTTAAAAATCTCCCACCTGTTTAAAAAATTGATTTATGGGATGTCAGAACTAAATTTTAATTAAAAATCCATGACTGACTCATGGAACAGCTTATACAAGAGCAAATCCAGGACACCCTTTATTGAAAGAGAATAGCATGAGCATAGGACCTTTTGCATCAGGAGAAGTAATGGAGTGACACTATGGGGGAGGGGCTTTGAACTGTTATTTAAAATGCGCTGGGTTTGCAAAAAATATAATCAATGGGACTTTTGCTAAACTCCAGCTGACAAAACAAAACCTAAAACACCCTCCCACCAACTCAAATTTGTAATATAATTTTGTTCTTAAATTTAGATACGCCCTTACCATAGTGTAAGCATGTTAGAGCTATCACGATGTCTCTGAAAATTAATTGCTGACTATATGCTGTTTTGTAAACCATGTTGTTAGAGTACTTAGTTGGTCTTTTAGGATGTAATGTTTCCTAACATTTTTTTTTCTTAGGTGTGTATGTTGCTTCCATTTATTTTTCACATGGGACAGCCGTGATAGCTTTGATTATGTAGTAGAATTTTGGGGTAGAAAGATGGCATGGAGCACAGCTGTACATCTAAATACTTTTTTTCTTGACTTCTCAGTTACAGCTGGTATGGCAGCATTTGGGAATCGGATACACACTGTTTATATGTCTAATATATTCATTCTGGTTCTAATTTTGGTACCCTATCACTTAACATATATAGGGAAGAGTCCAAAAATTGTTATGCCCCCTCCACTGCTTAATTACCTACTGTGTAGTGATATAGGCTAATTAGACTTATCTTCTACTCTTAGGGAGATCCTTTATCATTGTTACTTTCTGCTGGAATGTTTCCAGGCCCTTCCCTTAAATTGGGGCAATCCTACATGGGGTGCTGACTCAGCCCTCTAAATAAGCACCAAACTCTGTTTTCAGATTAGTGCTCTGGATCTGCAACATTCAATGCACCCACTAATCTTTGGAGATGTTTATCACTTGAATTTTAAATGTTCCCTACTGTATTTTCTATGTGTAAAAATGTTTGTCTCCTAGATTTCAGTAGGCCTATAATTATTTAGTGGGGGAGGAGTAACTGGCTCAACCCTTTCTAGAATAAAATAATCTGGATTCACCAAATCAAGAAGAATAGCAAGGTTGGCCTAAATTCTGCTGTTACTCAGTACAAGCCTATTGAAATGTTTACCTGTATACTTAAGAAGAATTGCCTTTGAAAACAATTGCATCAACCCTCTTTCTATTCCTTAAACTGTAATGTAGAGGTGTCTCTTTACAAGCCAGCTGTGTTGTGGTAGACTGGCCAGTGAGAACCTAACTAACTCTTTCATTTTGGATTTCACCTGAAGGCAGATTGAGGAGAAACTTCCCTCTGCTGCTTCTTACTGCCTCTTTTCCTAACAGCCGTAGCTTAGAAAATAACAGCTCGAGGTACCTTTGCTCTTGATCTACCTAGCCCGGAGCTGGGGGAGGTCCTATACTGCTGCCTGGCAACTCCACGTTCCCGACGACTTTTTGGGGGATGGGAATAGGACCTCCAGGGCCGGCCTGAAGTGCCTGGTGGTGCATCCTCTCTGCGCCTGGCTTCAGCCACTCCGCGCCGGCAGGTTGCATGAGGGCCGGCTGCTGGAGCCGGCGTGGGGCACAGTAGGGGACCCGGCTGGTGGGTGGCTTTCGGCAGGGAGCGAGGGGTTTGCAGTGGCTGCTGTGCCCCGTGCGCTCTGGACGCGTTCGCAGGGAAGGCGGCTGGGGGTGGAAGGGAGTCCTCGGGAGCCGGGCTGCCAGGTAAGAAGCGGTGACGCCGCTGCAGAGCAGAGGAGGAACAGGCGGCCGGGGGAACCCAGCAAGCACGGAGTTCGTCCCGGCTCCGTGCGCTCCTAGCCCTCCTCTGGGCCGCCGCGGCAAGAGACCGGGCCGCTGCCTCCTGCAGCCCCCCTAGCCGCCCCCAGCACGGCGCACAGCCGCCGGGAAAGGGCCCTGGCGCTTCCCGCACGGGGAGCGGAGCTAAGCGCGGCTGGGGCTGAGACGTGGCTTGGAGGTGCCAAGCGGACGGCAGGGGGCATCGTGCGCGCCCCAGCCAGGCGCCCTGCGTCGCGCTCAGCGACCCGGGGGCTGGGCGCCTGGGCCTTGCTCCGCAGAGCGGAGTGCCCGGCTGGGCGGCGGAGGCGAGCGAGGCTCAGTCACCCAAAGGCCGGGGCTCGGGGAGTCCCGGAAGGCTGGTGGGTTGCGGGGCGGGCTGGTGCGTTGGCGGTCGTCGGAGCTCTCGGGTTCCCCCGCTCGGCGCTCGCTAGCAAACACCGCCCGGGCTTGTGCCGCCCGGGGTCCGGGCAGCGGGAAGCCGGGCTGCAGGGGAGGAAGGCGGCGTGCTGCGGGACTCAGGCGCGGGCGGGAGAGAGCGAACGGATGGAGACTCTCTCTCCATCTGCCTTCGTTGCAGGTTTAACATCCCCCGCCTCTGCCCCCCGCCTCCAAGTCCCTTCATGCAGCAGCGCCGCCCATGAGCAGAACTGCCAGCTCGCCTGCTGCCATGGCTTCAAGGTCCCCTTCCCTGCAGGCAGCTGAGCGTCGCCCGAAGAAGAAAACCAGCGATGTGCGTCTCTCTGCACCCAACCCCCGTGCCCTGGTACTTGCCCACCTGCTGCTGCTCCTGTCTCGTTG